ATGCTTTTCTCTACAAGGATTTGGACATTTTAATCTTATCCCAACAAAAATAAAGACTACTGATACATTATGTCACCTGCATAGTGTATTAATGTAGTTCTACTTATTAAAATTTCTAAGTGAGCCTGTACAGGTAGAGAAATCAATATTCCAATGAACTGTTTTTCTCTTTGGTATTAGACTAGAAGGTGCATGTATGTGTTTCAAAACACTGATGATACAGAACAGAAGTTTTAAAGATGTAACTTGATGGTCATTAATTATATAAACAACTTGATAAAAAAGGAGGTAGAAGACTGATTAAAAATGGATTCATTTTCCTCTACTGGATTGTGCTCCTCATCACATCTTATGAAATTATTATTCAACGGAAAGCAGCAAGTATTAAGGAGTTTTAATAAATAAAGAGGCCTAATGCTCCAGGTCAAAATAAATCCTCAGTAACAATAATGGCAAAGCTTCCTCAGAGTCCATTGGTTTCAGAAATTCACTTACAGGTCAAAATTTAGACTCAGGGTAGAAATTCTCAACCTTTTATAATATCCATAAAATAAAACAGAAGCTTGAGGCAAAAATAAGATGTCTTATAATTCATAAAGTTGGTACACTAATTATTGCAGATGAAAGTAATAAAATAGCCTGGTTCATTTTCATCAATAGGCAAATTCCCATAAACTCTGATAATCTTAGTCACAAAGAGAAAACTCTATAATGCTCCTGAAGTAAAGAGGAGAAGGGAGGACATCATGTACAAAACCATGCCTGCTGCAAGTACTAAATCAAAGTGATCTATGAAATAACATACACATTTAGATAGTCAGTCAGGTTAATTTAAAAATATCCAATGATGTTTATACAGTAAAATGTCTTTACTTTCAATAAAGAGAGTTAATATAGCACTGTAATATTTTACAACTGGTAGGCATATTGCATAAATGTGTGCACATACACAAGCCTTTAGGCAATGTACAGTAATTGGAGAGCAGAAAATGAATGTATGGAGTTTAGAACATGTAGGCTCTGAGCACCACAGCAAAATGCCCATCAGATTAAAATTTACCACCTTACTTACAAACAAGGAACTGTCTTCAAAATACATTCACGTGGTCAAAATGTATTGCCTTAATCTGGGGGAGATAACAAAACCCTTGGCATTGCAGCATGAATGATTTTTGGTGGTTTACAAACCAAAGCCAGAAGCTGTACATAAATTTACACCAAGGAAGAATCTGAACAAATATATTTAAAGCTGTATTTTAACTGCAGCATATCAAGTAAATATTATCATAGTGGAAAAACATGTATTTTGAGGGGAAAAGCACAGTTACAGAAAATAAACTTGTCAAAAGAATTATAGCCACGAGATCTGTTGTATTAGCAGCACATCATCATGTACAGGAGTAAAGAGAATTGGATGTTCCAATAGCCTTTTAAAGCTTTCTTTCAATGCCATACCCGAAGGACTCTTACAAGTGCAGAAAAGTTGACAAGCTAATAAAAATTAACATTTCAGGTAAAGAAGACATTGCTTCATAACCATCTCGTTGTTGTTTGATTAAACTGAAAGGTAAAACATTTTCACTCGATAATTCTCCACACAAAGTGGTTTTTTTACCAATGTCTGTGACCTGCAGTTTCTCCATGGGCCACAGCCCATTGCTCACTCACACAGAATGTGAAACTCGTTTATTTCTCCCCAGCAATTAACAGCTCGTGTAGCTTCTAGGTCGGGAAGGAAACCAAATTAACAATCCGATTCTTTGCATATACTGGTAACATTTGAAAAATTCCGTGTACTTACAGACACAAGAGACACAAGACAAGAGCCCAGTTATTCCAAAGTGTTCCTCACAGTTTCATTCCTTAATGCCCAAGAGCTCCTCTGGACCATTCTTTTCTGGCTCACATTACCTGAGAAATGGAACATCCCCAGGAAGGTCAGGCTGGCCAGGCTGCAACTTCCTAAGGACCAAAATAAAGATATTCTTCTCATCCCAGGGGAACAGAGTGCCTTTTCAGGTACTCCTCTGCAGAACTCACTTAACAAATTCTCTAACCTCACTTAGGGTTAGATCCCAAATCTTCTGATTCTTGCCCTTTGGGAGCAACACTTTTACTGCTTGCACTGGGAACAAATCCCAGTAAATTCTAAATCTGGCAAAGTGGCCAGGAGCATAGACACACTAGAACTGTGCAAATTTGTAAACTCAAAAGTAAATTACATAGATTTAAGGAATCGGGTAGAATTTATTTAGAATTATAAAAATTAAATTGATTAGCACTTGCAATAGTTTTCGTTTATAATTTTGACTACTAGTTTATGGAATAAAAATACACATTTAATCTAAAATACCAGATAAAATGTACAAAAGAACTACCCTTATATAACTTGCTAGAAGTTAAGTATTTAATAATAAAACAGAAACTCAAAAGAACATTTCATTAGGTAATTTAATTTAGTGTGTTCAATTTGAAACTTAACTTATGATTTATTTTTATACTGCTTTTGCTTTTACATATGAAGTCACATATACAAACAGTTCTAGCATTAAAGGCAATACCATATTAGAAAATTATTACATTTTATGGTTATTAATCTTTTATTTTAAATAGTTTATACACTATTGAACAGCAATTACAGTTGATAATAAAGAATTGTGCAATGTCTTCAAACTGTTTAACAACCTAAAATAATTTAAATTGTAAGGAAAAAGAAGAATTCAAAGCTGTTTGAACATTTTGGTGAAAAAAAATGTGGACTTCCAAGTTCATAGATGGGATTTTTCAAGGAACATTGCAACTGAAAATTTTAAATTGGCTATTTTTATTCTGCCAGAACGTGCAATTGTATTTGTCCTATGCGGATTCTTTCTCTTTTTTTTCTTTTTTTCTTTTTTTTTTTTTTTCCCTTAGAGTACTGCTCTGTGATGAGATGGATTTTTGTCTTTGATGGGCCAGCAGAACCCAGGGCACTGTGTGTGCTGCCTGCCACAGAGGAGGGCAGAAGTGCAGGAGCCAGGACACGTCACCCAAGGGACCCAAGGGACCCAGGACAACCCTCCCACTTCCAACAGAGATTCCCACAGGAGGAGGTGGAGACAAACACCTTATGCAGACTTGAAATGAGAGAGTATAAAGTCACTTAGTCCTGTATTTTTATTTTTTTTTTTTAGGTACCACATAAAGAGAAATGGGCATCCACCTGAAGCTAGAACTAGAGGAATTGTACCTTCCTTCTGGCATTGCAGGGGTGGGTGCTCAGGTGGGGGATCTGGGCACTCTCCAGAGCCTGGCTGCTCACCTGCTCTTTCTTACCAACTTTTTGCTAATTTACATTGTTTAGCCCTTTGCAACCACACAACATGGGAAACTCACGTCCCTCGAGCAGATGACTCTGCAATCATAGTGGCAAGATGTTGTTGGCCATAGTTTTAATGTAATATTATACTAAAGCTTGCAATATCAATACAGGTAAGTTCTAATGCTATCAATGCAGAAAATAAGACCCAGATATATATGTTGTAAGATATAGCATTACTTTGCAAATGGTTAACATCCGTAGCTATTATTATGCAATGTATATTAATAATACTTAAAATTCACTATTCTTTCAGTTCAACTTTATATGATTTTATTATAGTATATAAAAAGGCGAAAAGAAGTAATTAATTGGGAGAGCCTACCTACCTTTTATTATGGAGGGCCTACTTCTAGCACTAACCTTCATGCTGCAAATCCTTGGCTTCACTCATATGATTACACCTCATTTTAACTCAAAGGGATGGCTCTGTCTCAGAATGACTTCTGATATTATTCTGGACCATTGCAGATGCAGATATGGGTCTGATATACCTCATGCTAAAGCAAATGAGGAGATTTCACCAGCTAAAGGTGGGTGAGGTCTGACAGAACGAAAAGGCTGCAGAGGTAGGGAGACGTCTCTGAAATACAGTTAGAAACAATGGCAGTATATTATTACTTTAAGTAATCTCTACTCTGTGTTGTTCTATTTCTTTAGTGAAATGCTGCAGGAAGTAGGGGGGTGAAGTGAGGTAAGAATTTGTATCAAATCCTGGTGGGTTTCCTTTCCTCCCCTTCATGCTCCTGTGTTCTTGCTGCCTCCACACACTGCCCAGCAGCAAGGACCTCTCTCTGACAAACCCGTGAGCCACCAGAGAAACTGCTCAGTGGAACCAAGGCTCTACCCTTCCACTGCAAAGCAATATTCCCTCCAAGCCAAACTGCTGTCAGTATCAGCCTTTCTTCCCCTTCCATCACCAGCCTTATATATGTTACATTATCTTTCTGTGGTTCAGTATAAAAGGGATCAGCTCCACCAGTCAGCAGTGTGTGCTCATGGTACAAGCAGGCAGAATTTGTCACAGGTGACATCAAGCCGCTAGCACAAACACATCTATTACCCTTTCTCTCTGGCTTGGTGAGACAGCTGCCCTCAAGGTATTGGCCTCTGAGCCTCCCTGATAAATCACTGACGTGTAGGAAACCTGGTTATCCCAACATAGCAGGGGCAGAGGATGCTATTCAGCTGTAGGAGGACATGGAAGAACAACGTCCATGAGGCTTATAATGAAAGATTTTTTATATACTTGAGTAGTTAACAAAAATTTATTGCAAGAGATAGTTTGTCACTAGATTTACAGTTTCAGAGAACATAGTACAAAACATAGTGCATCAGCTTTGTCTAAACATTAAATAGGTGCAAATACACAAAGATAAAAAAAACCAAAAAGTAAATACTTTACAACATAAGTTATAGAACTATAAATATATTTTATATACATTATACATATTCTAAGACATGATTTTCACATATATATATATACAGTTCGTAACTGGTGTCAGTGCTTTAGTAACAGCATAGGCCTGAACTTGCCGCGGGCGTTGGTGGCACCGTTATACTTACAGTAAACGCTTCCCAAGGAGGAGTTTTAACCAGTCTAGAGAAAAGCTGCAGGGGGCTGCGGGCAGCCCGGAGTGTCCTAGAAGAGCGGCTGCAGGGGGATGACGGCCGGGTGCGGGGCCAGCAGGGACGGGAAGGCGGAGTGCGGCAGCGGGGGGAAGGCGAGCGGCGCGGGCGGCAGCGCGGCCGGCGGCAGCAGCGGCAGCGGCGGCGGCGGCGCCACGAAGGCGGCCGGGCACAGCCTGGGCCCCACGGCCAGCTGGGCCACGGGGGCCCGCGGCAGAGCCGGCACCTGCGACACGAACGGCTGCGGGGCGGGCTGCAGCACCTTGATGGCGGCGCCGTGGTGCTGCGGCTGCTGCTGCTGCTGCAGGATGGTGTGGTGGATGGTGGTCACCGAGGCGGAGCACAGCGGCGGCGGCAGCGGCAGCGGCGGCAGCGGCGAGCCCGGCGGGGCGAAGGCGAACTTGAGCTTGCCCGACAGCACGGTGTGCTGCGGCATCACCTGCTGGAACGCCTCCGACGGCAGCTCCTTGAACTTCTCGGGGCTGTCGGCCGGGAACAGCAGCGCCTGCTCGGGCAGCGGGAACGGGGCTCGTAGCTGCTCGGTGGTCAGAAAGGTGTGAGTGTTCACGTGTGCTTCTTTGAAGGGCAAGGGCGGGGGGCTGCTGAATATGCCAGGACTGCACTGCACCCACTCCCCGGCCACCTCACCCATCTTCTCGTGCGGCAGCGACTCGGCCAGCTCATAATGGCAAAGATAGGATTTAGGAGGAGTTTGCTCCAAGTGCCTGTTGGGGACGGGGGCTTTGTAACGAGCTTGATTTTCACGGACGTTGACGTTTTCCTTTTTCTTTCCCTCCTGGGGACCAGCAGCCTGTTTGACAGCGGCTGCTGCAGCGCTGTGCTCAGGGGCAGAAGCAGCAGAGTTTGTGATGACATCGGGGAGCGTGGCCGGTGCGCTCTCCATCGCTTTATCATCTCCCAGCACCTCTGGGCCGGCAGCTGCTACAGGCGACTTGCTTTCCTCCAGCTCCATTGTCTCATCCCTCTCTTTTGCATCATCATCATCATCTTTGGGAGCTGCGTGAGTTTCCTCTAGATTGTCTTGAGCCGGCGAGTCCCCCGAAATATTTAACGTAGAATTCGCAGAACTTTCTTTGGAAGATTCAGAGGTCTCACTTTTTTCATTCCTGTCGAGGAAGACACGACGGATTCTAGTCTTCCTTTTCCTGCGTTTCCCCTTGGCCTTGTGATAGGCACCTAAAGCATGTCCTTGCCTTAGATATTCCTCTGCTGGCAATGCCTGTGCCCATGAGCTCTCATCCGAGGAAGAGGAGTAGGTGTGCTGCCTCCTCTTGCGGCGGGGCTTCTCGGGCTCTTCTGTCAGAACACTGTAACCTCTCTTTACGGGCTGGTTTTGACCGGGCCCCTTCTCCTCGCTGCACTGTCCTAAACATTTATGCTCTGGGCTGCAGCTTGACCTCCTGGCTTTCCAGCTACAGCAGGTTTTGGAGCGCCTGAGGCTGTGTCTCCTGGAGCTCAGAGCCAGCTGCTTCCTCCGGGAGCTCGCTTTGCTCTTTCGGTGTGCTCCTTTACAGCCATGGTGGTGGCCACTGCTCTTTGCACTCCAAAAGTCACACCAGCCTCTGTCCCAGTGTATGTGATCTGATGCAGACACGACTCTCTTAGGACCATTTTCAATGCCAAATTTTGGCTGCGACTGCTGCACCTCACCCGCAGTTAGCCAGATATTTCCTGTGTCATGTCTGCACTTCTCTTCATTATTTTGGAGGTGCTGATATTTATTTTCATCTCTGTAAGTAATTTCTTTTTCAGTTACTGGAGACATCTCCATTTCTGCTACTGTTGTGTCTCCACAGTGATGATAATGACAATGACACAATTTTCTTCTCCTTTTCCTTTTTCTGTTTTTGTGAAGCCATTTTTCATGGCCTTCTTTGATCCAGACTTTGTTGTATTTCTCATCTATCACAGTGTTTTGTCGTAAGGGGTTATGAGATATGTGATACTTTTCTATTTTTCTAATCCTGAATGACTCATCCAAGGACACTTTGTTTTGATTTTTTGCAAGGTCACAATTTCTGAAGAGGGAAACATCACTTAACAGGGGTATTGTATAGTTGCACACATTTTTATCCACTTCTACTTCGCAATCGCCACACTCTGAAGTAGGTCTTTTTGCAAAATCTGAGACTAAGATATGGTTCGATTCAGTTTTATGGTGCAAATGAGGTATGTTTGGTTGATGCTTGGGCTTTTCCTGGCTTTCGCTTGCTCTCGATGACTTAAAATCAAAATATAAAGGATTACAGCTATAAGAAATGGATGGGTCTGTACTTGTGTAAATTAACATTTCTGATGGCCACTGAAGAACATTCGATCCATATTTGCTAAGAACAGGAACAAAGGGCTGACAGGGTCTCTTGTATACGTCCGGTTTGCTTTTTGGGGCTCCGCTGCCTTCTTCGGGCAGTGATGCCGCTACTGCATCTGCCCCCAGATGTTTCATTTCCGTCTCAGTTGCAGATGGATCACTGTTCCTGTCGTTGCAGTGTTCCTCTGCAGCATCCTGCAGAGAGGAGCAGTCCTGCACAGGCTCCTGCCCGGCAGCTCTGGTGGCCTGCAGCCCTTGCCCGCTGCCACCCAGGGGCAGGAGCCCTGCGCTGTCTGCGGCCAGGGACACGCTTTGGTCCCCTGAGCCGGCCACACTGACATCCACTCCGTGGCCATCCGTGCCTGAGGACACCAGCTGCCTGCAGTGGGGCATGGCAGGAGGAGCAGCTGGGCTCTCCAGCACCCTGCTCTCCTCGCTGGACAGCTCTTTTGACTCCTGAGCTTCAGGAGCTTCTGCTGTGTCTGTGCATTTTTCCACCAGTGGGTGAAGACAGTTGTGTTTCTCCTCAGGGCATGCAACTATTTCTGCTGCTGAAGGAGACTGAAGGTTGCACGTTCCCGGAACGAACCTGCTCCTTCTGCTAAATCCATGCTCCATGGAGGTTTCCTCATTAAACTCATAGAAAACGGCAGCTGAAGACTCCAGTTTGACTGCTGCTTTCTTAGGAAAAGCAAAGGAGAACCCAACTCTGTGTCCTTGAGCTCCTTGAAGCTGATCTCCACATTTGCTAGGGTCGGATTGATGACTACCTGCATCTCCAGGGGCGGAAGAAATAACAGAGGCAATGTCCTTGCAATTCTGTGCATCGTGCATTAATGTACAGCTGAAATCCTGGCTTTTGGCAGAATCGATGGCAGCACTTTTGGGGATATCATTGCAATCATCTTGCACAGTCACTGTGGTGGATTTGAACATAGGGCCACTTCCAGGAGCACTAGGAAGGAAAATAAAACTTTGAGTCAGTACTGTTGAGAGAACTGCTGACAGAAACATGGTATGACATTGGTATTTAAGGGAGCTTTTTAAGGAAAGAGGAAGACTCTGTGGACATATATATTTAGACTACAAAAAAATGCCATCTTTCATAATAAAGATGACTAGTATTAGAAAAATTGAATGAATAAATATTATGCTCCCAGTTCCTTTATGTGAAGTTACCAGCTCCTACAGAGTAGTTAACTTTTCCTAGACACACTGGCAGGCCAAAGAAGATATGTTCTGTCTCCACAGAAATCTTGCTTCTCCTCTGAGCAGACCACCATGGTTACAACACTGTGACTACAGATAGCAGTTTTACATTCCTTCGTGCTACAAAACATGTTAAAACAGAGGGTGCTTCATGGATCACTTTCCCCATAGTCATCATTGCAGTGGCTGCTGCTCTGCCCACAGGCAATCCCCCAGCAGCTCCCATCCTATTTGTGTGCACAAACCAAACCATGGCCATCCCAGCAATTTCTTTCATGGAGAAATAAAACTGGGGAGAGGATTTCAGCTGACAGAAGTAAAGTAAGTGATTCATCCCTCTTGAGAAAAAATTTATTACTGTCTACTTCTGTTCTTCATTTCATGTCCTCTTCCCATCTGTTCTATTTGACTTAATAGGAAGCAAAGGGAAGAGCAGAAAGTGTTTAAGCTGACAATTTTCCAGGATCCACAGAAGCTGCTCAGCACTAGGAGTAATGGACCTATGTTAAAACCATTTGTTTGTTTGTTTTAGCCAAATCGCTCCGTGTTACAGTGCAGAGCAATATTCACTGATGAGTCATTGGTGAAACTTGCAAATGTCATTTAGGATCCCAAGAAATGCTGAGATAATGCTGAGATGAAGAATAATGTCTTTACCCCAGCAGGTCTAGAAATTAAGGTAGAGGTTTTTTGAGAAAGGAATTCTTCATGAGAATGAGAATTCCCGCTTTGCCTGGTCCTTTATAAATTTGAAATATATATTAAACCCCCACACAAACACTTTCTTTCACAGAATAAAATGGTGACTTCTACAAAACTAGTCTAGAAATTGCCAGTTTAAAAAATCTTATGTGTCTGTCTGTGTCACACCTCTAAGGATGCAAAGTGGTAGTAAATAGCAATTATGAAATAGATAACTCAGATAGGAAATCTCCTTCAGGAACTAGCAAAAGATATTTAAAAAAAACCAAACAATAATCCAGAAACAGCCAAAGCTTGCAAAATCTGTGCTTCACTAGCATGGAAAAAGGGAAACAGTAAGCTCCTCTTTCTCATGCAACACACAAAATTCAGGGTTTTTGAGCATATTTAGGGGAAACGATATCTAATATACTCAAGTATAAAATATGGACGCTTAAAACAGTCATGGAGGAGAAAGAGTCTCCACATGAGTGATCATAAGAAGATGGAAAAGCTTGGTGCTGTGTTGCTCCTGTCAAACAGAGCCTGTGACATTCATGTTCCATCCACCTGCACATTCAAACTTTGTCTCAGGACACTGCCCACCATCCAAACTAGGGACAAAGAGATTATTTCTGAACAAGAGCTGCAGTTTGGTTGGACTTCTCTGTTAGTTCATCTGGGGGGAGTGAAGGCTGAATAAAGAGAAAACACTTGCACATGAACATCCACATTTTTTCTTTTTTTTCCTTCAGAGATTACACTGTGACAAGTACATATATTTTCAGTGGCTTATCAGTGTCAGAACTGTGTCATATTTTGAGAATTCAGCCACAACTAGAAAGCTCAATACTAATTTCAACAGCTCGCCTAGATACAATACTAAAAATGTACGAGCAGCAAGGAGTCACTTCTGCAGAGGGAGGTAAACACACTGCTGAGCAGTGGAAAAGGAGCACTTACCTTTTAATATAAAAAATCCAGCTATTGAGATCTAAAGCTAGGTTTCTGGATGCTTTCCCAGGCGAGCATTTTGAAAACTAAATCGCAGAGATCTGTTACATCCTAGAGAGACAGACTGTGTTCCTCACCTCATCAATGAAGTAGTGTCAGCCTGCAAATGCATGACCTAGTTCACTCAGCTTTCAACCAAAGTGCCTGGTTTTATGAAATATATATGAAACACATCTTTTTTTAAACTAAAAATATGTGTCATTTTAGCTCAGCTGAAAAAGCAATGTTAAACATTCATTCCTGCCCGCAGTGTGAATCAAATACCATGCACAGAATGCTTCCAAAATGCTCTAAAAACACGTGTGTGTGTGTGTGGCTACAGCCAAGGGTCCCCTGCATCCCACAGCACCAGCTAACAGTGGAGGGCTTATTTAAAAGTATTTCTTTTTCTGTTTGAGCAGCTATGGACTTACCAGGTTCTCTCTTTCCTTAGCTCAGCTAGCTTGTGCAAACGTTGAAGGGCTTTCTCCTGCTTCCTTTCATCTTTCCGTGACTTAGATGCTACATTCCGAGCAAACTCCCTCTGTTTCAGTTCCTTCAGCCTCTGCAAGAAACAGCCACATAATGCACATAAAATCCCCTGGCATGAGAAGTGTTGCAATGACAGTCACTTGCTGGTGAGTGCTCACAGCATGAACCTGACCATTCAAAGAAATTTAAGGATTTCAAGGCAATAACCAAAATACCTAGAGATAGGTTAGCCAGGCTAGAGACAATCTAGCAAATTTTACTGTAGCTTTTGTGGTGATGTAGACCAGCCTCAGTAGGATGAGGCAAAGCTCACCCAGAATTTTGTTCATGATTCTTCCCCAAAACATTCCCCACAGCATAACTCCTTTTTGAGATATCAATAAAAAACGAGTCCACTCCAGGTATTTTTCTGCAGAGCCTCTCAAAAGCCTATTGACCCCCCAGATGATATTAAATCTGGATTTTTTTCTTGCCTGAGATGCTGGGCATGGCACTTGTCACTGCTGCTCTGTGGCAGGTCCCTGTCAGCTCTTCTCTCCACATTACCACGGTCCCTCTGGCCCTGCCCTGTTGTGTTATCAGCATTCCAACACCTGCAAAGCTCCTGAGAGCTCCTGTCCTGCCATCCCAGGCGTTATTAGAGATGTTAAAGGGTCCTGTCCCAGCAGGGAATCTCCAAGGGATGTGACGAACAGAGAGGTCTTGCATTCTGAAATGGGGACATTGTGCCTTTGAAGGATCCTGAGTTTCCTGCTCTCACTGGTGTCTGACACAGCACTTACACAGACACCGAGGTGAAATCCAGGGTCTCATGTGATTTTATCTCCAGCCTGCTTCTTTGGAGGGAAATGGAAGTGCTCAGCTCTGATTGTCCACACACAAAAAAAGGAATCTTGTTTTCTTTATATCACAGAAGGACAATATGCAGGGTCCTCCCTGGTTCTTCATGTCAACAAAATGTATTCCAGTAGGTCCCAAACCCCACTGGTCCTCAATGTGCCCCAATTATGGCTCACATCATCCTTCAAAACCATAATCCCACAATTCTGGGAAGAACTCAGTAACCCTTTTAGTGTCCAGGGCTAATGACTGGCCACAAACAGTGGCCACAGTGATTTGTAAAAACAAAAACTCTAACTCCAAGTTCTTTGAGGGGTATTAAGAGCTTTTGTTACCACTGCTGGCACATATAATAGATACACAGAACAGAGTTTGTAAAATACTGTCAGCAGCATCCTCCTGCTCCCTCTCAATTCTTTTTATTTCACCCCCTTTGTGAATTTTTCTTTGCCCTATTCACAGAAAAATGCCTCACACATACTTTCACCTGGGAGGGAGCTCAGTCACTCCACCAGGCTCCACAGGGAAGTGGCCACAGCTCCAAACCTGCCAAGAGCTGAGGGACCAGCTGGCTCTTGGTGACACATGGATTAGTTTTAGGTGGTTCTGCAAGATTCTGAATTAGTCTTTGCCATTTTGGGTGATGGCAACACTGCTTGGGCAGTCCATTCAATGCCAAGAAATAAATATGGAGAAACATGCAGAGAAAACAAACTTGCAGAAAAATTACTACCACTCTCTATTTTCAAGTTTTGCATTCTCTTTAAAATGTCTGGATATCCTTGATAGACAGAGAAAAATAATCTGAAATGTAATCACATCTTCCACCATTTATATTTTCTAAATATCAAAATTTTCTACTGATAATAATTTGTTTTATTGTGCTAATACAGTGTAAGGTTATAAGTACACTCAAAACTAGATGTATCTTTTTTTTTTTTTTTTCCCAAGAAAAAGAATACTTGAAATGTGGAGCATCTTTGTTGAACATATCTTACCCTTGTGCACTCTTGTTTTTCTGGATAGCATGATACTGACCCTGCCTCCCACCAGCCACTCATGAAACCCGAAGTACTTCATTTCATACATAACTTCTGAGTACTCAAAACACAAGAGAAGAAATTTACTCCTTCCCCTCCTCACCTCCAGCCCTTGGCACTTAAAGAGATGATTTAATTGCACTTTGTGGAGCTCAATATATTTTCATGTTTTTTTCCCCTCCAAGGCTAAGGAAAGAAGTGAGAAGTAAAGGAACAAAAGGATGATAGGGTGCTGTGTCACATGGTTAAAAAGGAGAATCTGAGGTGTATACAAATCCATAGTCACCTCTTAGCTGCAGTACTTTTCTGCAATTACTGGAATGATTATAATTAGTGATTTGAGTGCGACCAGATTTTGAACCCTTTAGTCTTACTGCTGCAAGTTAGCAGCACTCTGTGCCTGTTCTCATTTTTTAAGTAATTAAATTGTTCTCCTTGGATGGCTACAAGTAGGTGAGGCACAAGTTTTGTGTGCTCAGCCTTTGCCTGCTCTTCTGTTCTGGAGAATTCCTGGTTCCAGAGCTCCCCTTCTGTCAGACCTCCAGGTAGATACACCCTCCCTTTCCTGCAGAGAAAACTGGTCTTTGCAGGAAATGCACCACTTACACAATGGGCTTTGGTTCTTTTCTTCTCACAACCATATCTCAGCCTTTCATGGAGTCCTTTAACAAAGTTTATACCTTGGTAACTCCCGAGGTCTTTATTCTGCAAATGCATGTCTAAGTGGAATTTCTCCTAACTCTAAACCACAAGACATGCACCTGGTGTTTAAAAAAAAAAAATGCTATTTCCTTTAAATAAAAGATCACCTAAATGAATAACCGTGTCCCCTCCATCTTTTCTTTTTTTGATACTGTAGTTATTTTCTACTTTGGTTTTTTTTTAGCCATGTGATGAACTATCACCACCTGCATTCCCTTACTGCACTCAGTCGTGCTCGAGATTGCTGGCACTGCATTTATGCTGCCCTTAGTTGCAAATCATTGGTTTCATGTGAATTATGAAAATGGAATCAATCAATCCATTAGTTCAACCAATCATACCATTAGTCCATGCATTCTTAGCATCAGAAGGAGCCCCCTAAAGTTGTTCAAAGTAAAAAGCAGCAACAGAAAAACAAGTGTGACTTGTTCCCATAAACCATCTTTTTTCCTTATAATTTTTCTGCCTTTTGATGTGGCAGAGCTGTTCACTAATGCTAACTTCAATAGCTAGTTTAATGCCTGGTATGTTTGGTTTTTGCCATGGATCAGTAGGCAAATAATAGCAGGCAGGGATACCGTATTGGATTCCCTCCTGCATTTTCCCCTGCTTATGAAGCAGCTCAGAACGTGTGTGACCCAGCCAGCAGAGTTCAACCAACAGTTCACAATGAATAATTAAATGACATTTCTCCAAGAGACCCAAATGCCTTCATCATTATCCTGGTACACTGCATTGCCACGTGGGAGGTGCGGAGCACAGGCGCCCTCGGTTTGCAAATGGCTTTGCCCAGCCTGAAGGGATGGGTGGAAGGCTGACCCTGATTCTCCAGCCTTGTAATGTGAGCCTGCAACAGGGCTGCTTTCCCTGGGGCAGGAGCTGGGTTATTTTAATGAATCTGACTGTAACACAGGGCCTGAAGAAGAAATATTCCACCTACTTCTGAAGAGCTCAGTCAGGTATCTTAGTGCACAGCCGGTACATCGTGCTGAGCCGAGGCTCATCAGTCCAGATGAAAAGCAAGACTTTCCCAGGCTCCTGTGTCCCTGTGCATTGATGGAACTATCCATGAGATGGCCCCAGCAGCTCCACACTCAGGTGAGGCTGCATTTCACTCACAGACACAGAGCTTAGGTGTTCCCAGACTGGCTGTGGAAGACAAGTGTCAGAAAAACGAAGGGAATCCGAAGAGGATTTCCAACAGGACCCCATTCCTGGTCTCTTCACCCTTGTCTTCCCCAGTTACCACACAGACAGTTCATTTCAGCATGCTGCTTTTCAAAATGTTTCCTCATTCTGGGTTTCCTAATTATGAGTTTCCTAACTTTCCCCTGCATTTCATAGTAGAGAAACCATAAGCCCAGATTCGGCTGCCAGAGCCAGGTGCCTGAAATCCCCCTCTGGATCAAATCCCCTCAAAACCAAAGACACATTATGGCATTACATGCACTTCTTACATCATTATTACAAGCCTTTTGCCACCCTGAAAAGTGGCTGTTGGCTTTTTTTTTTTCCCCTAAACTCAAGATTTAAATACTTGCAGCAACAACCCTTTAAATTAATGGACCTTCAAGACACATGGAAGGCATTAATTAATAAATAGACCCAGGACAGCAAAAGCATGTAAAAGCTGAATACTGATACCAAACTTACATGGATACTAAGATGATAAAATGAGGGAGGTGGGAACCCCAGCCTCAAATAATTTTATAACTTTGAACCTATAACTTAATGTGGTCAGAACTGACTCGGAAGAAAAGCAATGAGACTTTTAACAAAGTTTATGAGACTGAAGTGGAAATCATAACAAGCATCAGGATGGATACAGGCTCTCTCAATGGTGCCAATATCTCACAGAATAAGCAGCCATCCCACCAGCACAAAGGCATCATCTAAGGACTGCTTATTCAAACGGGCTCTCATAAACTACCCAGTGCAAAGCTTACCTAGGAACAACTTTAACAGGGTCAGGAACCAATGGGAACAGTTTTTATAACAGCAGGAGTCAGAAAGATGTCTATCAGGGGATTTTAGGGCAGTGCACTTCAGATATTATTATGCTAATTCGCTTCTGACCTTAGATTAACAATTAAATTACGTGGACTTTTACAATGCTGAAAATACGTAGGCCATAAATTAATTTTCTGATCAATGGAAGTATAAAATTACAGAATTTAACAGCCATGACATCAAATTTTGATGCTTTATTGTCTTTTCATTCCGTCAGGAAAAATGACTGTATTCCCAGCAGTCACTAAATCATTAATTTATGTGGTTTTAGCTTTTAAAAATAACTCATCAAAATTAAAGGCCAAGCCCACTCCTCCTCCACCAGCCCAGCCAGGGACAGGCTGGGATCGTGAAGACAGGGGATATTCAGTGCTAAATATGCATCCCAAGTCCAGCAGGAGCTTCCCAGGTCCTGTCCTTTCTCTAACTCCATTTGCACCCTGAAAGGAGCTGGAAGTCCACTGCAGCTCCTTCCTGCTCT